AATAATAATAATCTTTATTGGAGAAATCGCAACCCGAAGGTTGAAGTTATACAATTACATATATGAATATTTAAGTCAAGGAAGCCTGGTCATTTTTGCACTGGTGCACTCCGTAGGCGGTCTCACCTCCCTGGGGAGCATACACTACTGGTAATGTACTAAATACTTGATTAGTACCGACCGGATGGCCTTGTGGTTAGAGTGTCCGCCTCCGGAGCGGGAGGACGTGGGTTCAAATCCCGTCCGGGGACATACCAGTCCTTTATAAACGGTACCTGCTGTCTCCCCGCTTGGCACTCAGCATAAAGGGGTTGAAGCAGGGGCCTGGTCAGGCAGGGTAGAAATGTTATATTAGCTATGAGCGCCTTATATGGCAGCCGAGCTGTATATATATATATATATATATATATATATTTATATATATATTTAACAGCTAGTTCTCCTATTAATGATTATAAATGATTGAAAACATTAATAGTTATATTCCTAGTCAACACTTTGAAGTAAAAACAACTCATTGGCAACATATCTCTTCTTGCAATGCAAATGCACCAGTTAAAAATGTAGATAGACCATTAAGGTAAATGACTGACCTGAAAAAAACGCTGAATTAACATCTTTCTCTTTCAAGCTGCCCGTCAAAACGCACCTGCCCTTTTCTTTACACTTGAATCGGATATAATAAGAGTTGTGCATAAGTCAAATAAACCCGATGCTTAACTTGCAGTTCATTGAACAGTCTCACTAAGTGCGTTTTTCATCACTCTTAACAGCGTCTAAGACATCCCCCTAGCTGNCATAAAAATGACGCGTGCGGTTAATCAAGACAGGTGATCTAAACATACACGTAGGCAGGGTAGGGTAAGCTTCACAAACTAGAGATTAATATTAGGGAAATAGAATCACGCCAATATGTATCAGAAATACGTAGAAGTCGTGTATGTGCAGCATATTGGTGACACACTTGCATGGACTCGTCAAGATCGGCCCTTACGTCTTTGAACCTCACCTCTGCTGTTGCCTGGACGTTTAACTGACGTCGGAGTGGCGTCACGCTAGGTTGACGTTCTCCTCGGCTTAGACTCGCTTCCAGTCTACGATCAAGGCGAACTCATAGTGAAACAGACGAGTGAGAAAAGTTGCCAGACACTTTACTGAAGCAGATAATGATTTCGCTCCCATCTGGATTAAAAGGAAACGACGCGTCTTTTTTTTTTCTCCTCTCAGCTCCCGTAATCAATGGTTATTGACTTGTATTCTCATGCTGCTCTTGAAGAAGACAGACACTTGGGTATGCGTGATGGATTGGATAATGCTACCGTTTATTGACAAAATACGGGAATCCATAAACAGATATTCAGTTTATAAAAATGCTTCCTTGACATATACTACGATGCGAAAACACTAACGGTTATAATGAAAACACTGCAATGGTTCTCAGAAAAATCGCTTAAAAACTGCATAAACCTTTTTTGTCATTTTTTCCCTTTATATCGAGATGCATTTCAATCACCGTGTACACTGTAGATCTTTAAGAAATAAATAATTTATGAAAAAGATGCATCTACCTATGAAGATTTACTATAAAGATGTAATACCTAATTCAAGTTTTCGGCTCCTAGGCCTTTTTCAGGGAATTGAAAAAAAGAACGGTTTTTACCATTTTTTCAAGTTAGGGTGCTGTTCAGCTTGTAGCAATTTTTGTGATCTATCTGCTATTCTGTCATGCATACAGCCCCCCTCTCCTCCGGGACTGTCGGTTCTTCCTTGGCGCCGTCGTCCAATGCCCCGCCCTAGTTCACCATTTCAGATATTAATGGGTTTCTGGTACGTTTTCCTCGACACTTGTTCCTTTCGTTCAGCCTGTTTGCTGAATTGCCCGCCTGAGTGACGTGGGAGAATGGAACGGCAGCGCTTTCTGCACGCGCAGCACGCGCAACACGCGCTGCATCAAAATAAAAAAAAAGCTAACAAACAAACAAACGACGCTATACCCACAACTACCACCTTCACTATACACAACCCTAAACTCGTGGACATCTCCCCGGCATAGGGAGACAAAACCATCTACTCTTACCACCTCGTCAAATATATAATGGCCACCCTGCTTCAGTCTGCGTTGAAAAGCTGTTGATTGCCTTTATTCAGTCTCTGGTACATGTAAGACGTCATGAACTCTCTAAGGAGACGCAACTTTATATTTTGTCTGTGTGTTTTCCACAAGCGGATATGGCAAACCCACAATTCTTATTCAACACGTCAGCGTACAACATGCTCCTCAAGGGAACTATATGGCCTTGAATATTACCCGCACCGTGTTGACTGCGTTTGCTTAAACCAGAAATAAGAAACAAGTGAATTCATCACTACCTTCCAACCTGCTTTTTTATATGAATATTTTTGCATATTATGCATGACCATGAACTGGCAAATATGTATGGTACATATGTATGGTACATATAAATGTATAAGAATAATAACGTATGTAGGCGACAAACCAAAATATTTAGCTGCACTGAAGTTGTTTCATATGCATGTACATGGCTCTATAGGATTGGTCAGATCGGTTACCAGAAAAAGCGTTCGCAAGTGCGTTAAGTCATGAACGTTGTTCGACGACTGTCTACTACTACATGAAAGAGACCCAGCACAAATCATCATAAAAACTGAACCAAACTATCAACCCCCATTTTAACACAAACCTAAGAATTATCTGTGCCTGAATTCCCTACAAAGTTCACAGAAATTTGACGCTATTTACTGGATAATTAACCAATGCCTTATCTAACGTTTGATTTACGACAAGGTCTCTCGTCTGCAAGTATTGACGTCTTACTTTGTCCAAATCAAGCTACTCATTTGGGTCGAACCATACAAAAACATATTAAGACACTGTTCGTTTCATTACCAGACCATTTACACCAGCATCTACCATAACACGTCCAAGCTGCTCTTATTAATTAACGCTGTATAAAATGTCGTCTGCCACTCTGCTTTTCATCACTGTGAAATCTCTCGGAAATTGATTCTCTCCAAGAATGTCCCAGGTTTGCGGGCACCGCGTTCAACAATCAGATAAAATGTCTTACCTGGATATCATCAAATTTGTCTGCAACTGTTCGTCCAATTTTCAGAAGTCCGCGGTCTCCCATCTGCATTTATTCATTACTGCTGGTTGAGTTTTCTGTCAAGGATGACGATGATGGTAATTTATCAGCAGATCTAATACCGAGAATTAAGACCAGAGCAAGCGTAATGGGTAAAAATAACAGTCTTTATCTTTGTCATTTCATCAAACCAGATTT